ATTTGTAGAAATGTCGTTATCTTATACAAACAAACTCCTTTAATATACAACTAAAAGCCGCAATGAGGTATAAAAATACCATAAATGAATTAAAATGGTTTCATATTATTCCACATTCAGTACATAATAGCTGCAAGTCCACTACATCTGTCAAATGACATTTGAAATACCACAATCTTGTTCAAAAAAACCTATGGGCTCTCAATTGCTAACAATATTTGAAAGATTACACGTTAGTTTTTTTTTCTTGTCATTATACCTTCTAACTTCTATACTGTGTAGTGCGTATGTATGGTATATTTTCGAAGTCAATGCCAGCCGACAATATTTTAAGATATGAATATCTAATAGGTAAATATGTATTTTACGTAAAGAAATATTATATTAGATTTGCTTTGCATCGGCTGGCACCGACTTCGAAAATATCTGATTAGGTATCTATTATTTTTATTCTAAATGAAAACCCCCGCTTAGTTATTTTTTACATTTTAGTGCCTGGTAGTCGGTTTTTTTTTAAGTTTTTATTTTTCCATTTTAGTGTCGACGTAATAAGCAAGCAGGTAATTTGTAAGAATAAATTTTTTTAATAACATATCCGATTAAACAATTTATTTAAAAAATATATTTATTGTTATTTTTTTTAAAAACCGCTCGACCGATTTCGATAAAATTTATATGGGCCTGGGAAATATACCCTTTAAAACAAAAAAAAATCCAAATTGGTTCAGGCGTCTTCGAGTAATCGGTGAATATCCATAAAAAAAAGATTCCGACGAATTGACAACCTCCTCCATTTTGGAAGTCGGCTAAAAATAGTGTATACATATACCAAATAGAATTATTGTGAGTTTTTAAAGATGAGTATAAAGTATATACTCGTATATGTATATTAAAATACATTTGCCTATTTTAACAACTTATGCAATACACCAAATTACCTCACATTTTTTTTTTACTTGACAAACATATTTTCTGTCTGAATTTATTAAAGTATCGATGACATTTATACTCCCCTATGACCTTTTATTTAATGGAAGAATTATAATCTAGAAGAAAATACATGCGAAATCGTAGGTTACAAATAATAAATTTAACTTATTACAATCCAGCGTATACAGATGTACGGAACAACAGTATTATGTCAACCATTTTACCGTCGACATTATATGGACATAATATTAGCATTTAAAATTAATAACATATACAAAAATGATTTTAGGTTCTCATTTAATGCCAATATAAGCCAACAAAAGAAAACTTTTTATTGTATATAGCTCTGAACCTAAATATTCATATATTTATTACAGTTATTTTACATTATGTATTTATGCTTAATCATAGATTGATGATTTATTTGTTTGTTTATGACTTATTAGAATGAAAAAATGAACAAAGATGTTAATAAATTTTGCATCCATTTTTAAGACGCTTATATTAGCTTCTCTTGAATGTATACATATGTGTACTACTTCTAATGATTTCAATCAAATTCTGTATTTAGATAAGGTTTTGCTTGTACATGCGTCTTTACCGCAAAAACGCAATTTTCCAAAAAAATACACTGACCGAAGCTCGGTCTCCCAGTACTATTTCAAACTAGAATCTGTTAAGTTTAATCTGAAACAATTTACTGCGAAAAATTATATATTTTCCATTCAAGAAACTAATATAATTTAACTACCTAATTTGCTTGATCTAGACTATGCTTATTATCAATTAAAAATAATACGAGTGTATAGAACTTATTAATATCATAATATTATGAATAATTTTAAATGTCTATACTTATATTTACTGAAAAAAAAATACATGCAATATTTTCAATATTCTAGTTCCAAAACCAATAATTTAAAAGATACTGGTATTTTCAATAACGTTTTTTTTTATTTTACAAAGCCTGCGGCAGAAAGTTTGCTTAGGTACATTTAATTAGCAACTTACAGATAATTTCGGCACTGCACTAAATAAAACCATATATTATAGAGAATTAAAGCCAATTTTTGAATCTATGCAACCAATTATTGATACTTATTTCATTTTTTTAAATCATCCTACTGTCCTACTAATATTATAAATACGAAAGTTTGTAAGAAAGTATGTATGGATGTATGTTTGTTACTTTTTCACGCTAGAACGGCTGGACGGATCTGGATGAAATTTGACACAGAGATAGGTCATAGTCTGGAATAACACATAGGCTACTTTTTATCCCGGAAAATATACGGTTCCCGAGGGATATATTTGTTTTTGTTTTTCTAGAGGCAACCAGAGCGAAGCGTGGGTGAGCTGCTAGTACTATATAAAACATACTATTTATAACAATATAAAACAGGAGCAATATACGCGATACGTATAATAAGTACTAATTTATCGCTTCATACTATACTCGTACTTATAATACACATGTATATTGAAAAACCTTTATTTCTATTTAAATAAAGATTACAGAGTTAATACACTCTCTTAATTCAAAAATCTAAACTATCTATATATTTATGACTACAATTAAAGTATTAGGCTGTGTTTTTAAGAAGCTATACTATAATAAGCTATGAAGAATATATAATTTTACCATATGGAAACACAAATAGCTATTCAAAAATTATTTTAACTGTTATGAATTTTTGGCAAAAAATGAGTGTCTTTCTTAAAAAAAACTACATATCTGTACTAATATATATAAAGCTGAAAAGTTTGTTTTTTGTTTGAACGATTCGAAAAGTTTTTTTTTTTATTTTATAGCCTATTCATTAAGGGAGGTTTTGTTATATCACACTACATCGGAGTGATTATCAATACATATAATAAAATTGTAACTTAGCCATATCTGTACATTAAATATTTTTTTGAAAAATCTTATTGTAATAGACATTATTATCGATACAGAGGCCGAATCTATTGTTTTTAGAATTTTTGTCTGTCTGTCTGTCTGTCTATCTGTTACCGCATCACAGAAAAACCACTAGACGGATTTTGATAAAATTTTGTATGGTCGTAGCTGGCTATCCGGGTCAACATAAAGGATACTTTTTACCGCGGGAAAATATCTCATTTCTGAGAAAAAATACAAAAACTGCATTGTAAGAGTATATAATTTGTAAAACCTAAGAATTTGCTTTTTGGTCATCTGAACGCGGGCGGAGCCGTGGGCAATGCTAGTATCAAAGAAAAAGATGCGGGAACGCAAGAAAACGCTAGTATGAATAAATTATTTTAATTTCAGGTACAGCTAAAGTGATATAAGCAGACTGTCTTTGCAGAGCAGAGAGCATGCTACATTTTGTCCCGGAAATGTCAACAGATTTTTTTTAAAAGGGGAATAGAAGAAGACTGGCTTAATAAATTTTAACGGCATTTTCATAGACATGGTTCTAGTGAAATTAACATGAGTGAGACATATAATTTTATTGTGTTAACACGCAAGTGAAGCTACGGGTGAAAACAAAATTTTCCTTAATAGGCTTATACCTATAAGTGTTTTGGTTTTTATATGGAGGAATTTCATTGTGATGTTTTAGTTGAAAATTAATTATATTTCCTTGGATTTACGCGAATGTTTGACAATTTAAATAAAACTATGTTTCATAAAACATAATCTGAAAAGATAATTTTATTTAAAATATAAAATGAATTTTATTAATTTTAAATTTTTTCTACTAACAAACAGTACGGATCAGTAATATGAGCACATTTTTTGCTTTAAATAAAGATTTATCTAAAAATCAGCGCGGCAATAACAATTATAAGAAGCTCTCGAGCACAATGTACATACATTTGAAGTTGCAAGATATATTTTCCGTTTTTTAAACCGATCTGCACTAACAAACGCGTTGATCTTGGAGCCTAGTTACTAGTTCGTAGTCAGCGGAGTGGTTATATTTATTATCTTTACGAATGGGACACCTCTTGCGTCTTTTAATTTAAAGAATCATATACTTCTATCTATCACTATTAACCGTTAAATCCAAACTGCCTTATTCATGTGACTTCACATGTACAATTTGTATTTTAAGATCTAGAATACTTGAAGAGGTGTATCCTATTTAGCGCTTTATTTTAAGTAATTGAAGGTAATGCTATTTTATGTGAACTAAGTTCAGTTTTTAAAGATGTTTAAGTAAACTTTGCTTTAAGAAATTATTTAAATATGAGTGTTACTTATTTCTAGTGTTATTTACTTATGATATTTGTTTCTTTAAGTTATCGAAGTTATTACCTAAATTCATTCTAAAAAAAAGTAGTATTTTTGAAGTATATTGTGTCAACTACGAGTATAAGCAAACAGAAAATGAAGTGATAATTACTGGCAGCATATCAACTTCTAAAGTGTAATAAATAAAGTGACCTTACGCATCAACACTTTTAAAATAAACAAAAGTTATTTATTAACCAACCCTCTAAATACTTAAACGTCAATAGAAAAAGTTTTTATTTATCAATGAACAATTCATTGGTATTTAACCGTAATTTAACGGCAAAACAATTAGTAGGCCGCCGCGTTAAGGCGAACATTAGCCGCCGGAAAGATGTAGAAAATCTATGAGGTAAATAAACAAACTGGTAATTTAAAAATATCTTAATCATATCTTATAATGTAACATTTAAAGTAATAAATAAATATTCAATATGTTTGTGTAAATTTAACCTTAAATATAATAGTGTAAGAATTAATATGACTGAATCAGCCATTCCAACGAGATCATATAAAGATCTTCACTTTAATATTTGCTATACATTATAATCATATTCTTATTTACTAATGTACTGAAATTTAGGCCTTTAATAACTTTTAAAAATGATAATAAGCTATTATAAAATAAAAACATACCTCTAATATATGTCAAGTTATTATCACAGGCACAATCACATCACATTAAAATAGAATAAAAATATTTAAAAAAAATGACGCACAACACCACACTGATATGTCACTTTTTAATTTTCGAACAATGTTTAAAAATGTTCAAAATTGCCATTTGTGCTATTTTTTTTTAATTTTACAAAGTGATAAAGGCACTCAAAATTACACAGATTAAATCGTGCATCAGCTGTTCGTCATGTTTGGCAAGGACGTTCGTTGGAAAAAAATGGCCGCGAGGTCGTTGCCCCGGCGCTGGAGCGTGACTATATTCGTGTTGGGTACGCGCGCGCCGCTTGCGATCTACGCGACGAATGAGGAGTCTTAGAACTATTTCAAGCATCTTTTCTCTAATCCTTTTCTGCTCGCGCGAGTGTGGGTTTCTAATACATTGGTGGGCGTCAGGAAGTGGGGCTATTCGACACGGGATTAATACTAATTAATCACAGTGTAACTTGACCGTCCTGTCAGATTTCATTAAAAGGTCCACTTGGTTGGGTGGTACTTGACATAAAACATAACATAAGATAACACGTAAAACGGCTATTCCAAATTTTCTAAAATTATCGCATCACAATTTTTTGAAAGTGCTAAAGAATGCTACAAATGCTCTTTGCTTCATGATATCTTTTTTTATATAATATAGTTGTTTTGTTGAACATTCATAATTATAAACGTGCATAATTTATTCAGTGCACAAAAACAGTCGGCACGTTATTTCTATAACCATGTAACGTAACGTAACATATATATTTTATCTATAACCACAATATTTTCATATTAAAAGTTTAATATATTATTAATTTAATTCTTTAGAAAATACGTAAATGCTACTAAATTTTAAGAATGTTCACTTTCCACTAATTTTTATAAATGTAAATAATATTATTATGTTGGTAATAAAATAACATAATAAAATTATTAATTATCTGTGACAAAACATAACCGTTGATGTCTTCTCTATGAAACTACAAGCATTGAGAGCCCGTTGATGTCTAATATAAGAAATACACTTATACTAATAAAAAACATAATTAGAAACAATAAACATATTCCCACGTGTAATTGGTACTTTAACTTACTTATTTAATATATAGATTCGAATATTATTTACTGATATCATCATAACATAATGTTATTTGTATATCTAATACTAATATTATAAAGAGGTAAAGTTTGTAAGTTCGTGAGTTTGTTTGTAGGAGGTAATCTCTGGAACTGCGGAACAGATAAAATTTGCTATGAAAATAGTTTGAAATCCTGGAAAGGACATAGGATACTTTTTATCCCGGAAATCATTCCTTCAGGGGATGACAATTTACAAGTAAGAGTTATGAAACTGAATCACATATACATAGTATATACATAGTCTATCTATTCCGTACTAACCGTTAAAGCGTACCTAGTGATAAATCCGAGCGAAGGGTGAGTCACTAGTATTTTCTAATTAGAATTTAAACGAAACTAAAATTCAATAACAACAAGAAAGTATACATGCGCATAAGTAATTTTATTGAGTTAATCTAGTTTACACCAACATAAAGAGACAGTTTGTTCTTATGTAGAGAATAATTTGAAGAAGTACTAATACAATTCTAAATATTTTAATTATTAATAAGCTATTATTTTTATTGAAGGCAGGCCCGTGCCCAGCAGTGGGACGTTAATAAGGGATGAATACATATTATTTTTGAACAAAAACTATTTTTTGCGACGGAACACGCGATAGCTGTAAGGGAAAACAATGTGACATACATAAAAACTGAAATTACATAGATGTCTATCTGGGTTTGGTCATAGCAAAAGGCAAATATTTTTATTAATGAAAAATAAATTTTAATCTTTTGCGTACTTACAGAAGCTATTATACAAATAAACAAAAATAAATATAATATTTGTATGTTTGTTATAAGGGCACATTTCTCGTAAACAAATTAAAATCAATAATAATATTTATAGTAGCAAGTTTATAAGTATAAAGGCACTTGGCCTCTATCATCATTATTAATCGTTTCCATATTCAATAATTATTACTATAATGTGGGTAGACGTGAGTTGACGGACGAAGAGAATAAAACGACGCTTCACAAATCATACACAATATAATCACTAATTATAATCCCTTTTACAATTGTTCATTAACACTTCACAATTCTTAACAGTTCTTAATTTCAATTAAAAATTCAAACACAGACACTCCACCGAACATGTAATGTAACGATGCGATGCGAATCGAATGACAAAAGTAATGTCCGTCTCGACTCACACGCTAATGCTCACTAGCGCCCGGGGTTGTGTCAGAGTGTCGAAACGTCACTCTCAAAAATGTCAATGCGCCGTCACGGCCGGACTGACGATAGCACGCCCTCGTGCCTCTTCTCACCTCGCTGTTCTAGTTAATCTGCAAAGATAAAACATCATGTTTTTTCCAGTACGCTCGCTCATCCCTGACTCAATATAGTTACTGCGAAAATTTTATGTCTCATGTCATGTGTGACTTTCCATTTCACCTATAGAATGGACCGGATAACTGAACGTAGGCGTCCCTTCGACTAGCCAACATTCGCAATGCTGACATAGACCGGACAACCCCTCAGCGTCCCTTCGACCATCTAACACAATCAGACTTCATATACGCGACCGGTAATCTGATCCGAAACATCGACCTACATAAGCCAGTTTCCTTGACCGATTACCGTCTCCAGTACAACACCACAAACACTCTACTACAGTCTGTCTTAGAACATCGACCCGCATGAGCCAGTTCTAACGCCCAGACACTTCTCGAACCCATTAACTTCAGTATGTCACACATGAGCACATATATTAAGAAAAATGACAGAGTAACATTAAACAAGGCTCTACTATCAAGTAAACTTACGATTTAGTTTTCATCACGCTCAGAGGCTGAGAGGGTCCCCGAACTAGCGGTAAGAGTTTGCGAACTAGCTATAGACATTGTATCACTATCATCGTCAGATGGTACCCCCTCATTCTCTTGACCGTGGATCGCCGTCTCGGCCTCCTCCGCATTATTAATTAAGATAGTAGCTGCTTCAACTAATCCACTATAGCCTTCGGGTACGGCACGTAAATTTTCATGGGCATATTTATAAGTTCTGTTAGATCCATCAATGTCCCTGAGCTCATACCTATCATTATCTAAGACTCGCGAAATAACAAAAGGTCCTTTAAACTTTCGTTGCAGTTTCGTTTGATTACGTTCGCTACATTTTATAAAGACGAAATCCCCTTGCATAAAAGGTTTTACTGTTGCTCTACCGCGGTTGAAACGTATAGTATCAGCAGTGGCAGTTTTTTCAATGTTTGAAGATGCATCCTGACGAATTGCGTTTAAGTCTAGACGAGATTCGGGCTCTGAGTGCGGTAATATGCTAGACATTCCCAAGGACTGTGCTCGTATGCCAAACATCAATTCTGTTGGTGTATATCCGGTTACTCTAGAACGCGTCGAGTTAAGAGCTAGCTGTACCTCCGGGAGTTCGTCTCTCCATGTTTTATTGGTTTCGTTTTCTACTATTGTAAGTAAGCATTTCAAAGTCCTCATCACCCGCTCAACTTGGCCGTTAGCCCTGCTAGAGCCAGTAGCAGTAAGGTGAAGCTCCATGTTATGATCGCTGCAGAATTGTTTAAAGTCTGCGCTTATATAACACCGACCCTGATCAGCAATAATCCGTTTTGGGGCACCGAACAGACAGACAGCTTTTCTAAGAGCTTTAATGGCACTTGCCGCATCAAGTGAGGGTGTATACTCAAGTAGGACGTATTTTGTGAAGGAATCGATTATGACTGAGGCGTATTCTTTCCTATCACTCTTTCCACTGAGTTTCCCTGTCATGTCGATATGTATTGTATCCCATGGTGTTGCTACTTTCGGTATTGGGTGGAGTTGTACCTGCTGAGCCCCTGAACAACCCTTTGAGGCTTTGCAAACTATGCAAGATTCAATAAATTTACGAACTTGCTTAGCCATCTGTGGAAACCAATATTGCTCATATATTTTGTCAAGGGTCTTTTCAGCTCCAAGGTGCTTAATTTCTGTATGCACATGATTAATCAAAGTCCACGTAAGAGACCTAGGTACGACTGGCAACCAAAAAGTAGTCTTGTTACGTTCTATCTTCCTATAAAGAATGCCTTTTCGGACATCGTAAGTATGCGCAACTAATTCTGGTAAATCTTTGTCATTGTACTTACTGATAAGATCTTGAATCTCTCTATCGCGTTTCTGTTCCACAGAAAGCCAACCCTTATGCAACTCTACAAAATGAACATGCTTACCTTTCTTGGATAAACCAGAGTCATCATTTGTATGAGAGGGTCCAGGGGCTGGTTCTGAAAGTGGATTTCTTGACAAGAAGTCAGCATGTTCCATACTCTTTCCCTGTTTATGCACAATATCAAAATCATACGCTTGCAAGAAAGCCCACCAACGATGAACACGCGGGGTTAAATCAGTTTTCGATTTAGACGCTTTAAGAGAGTTGCAGTCTGTAAATACTGTAAAATGCTGACCATACAAGTAATGGCGAAAATTTTCTACAGCTCGAACAACAGCCAGCGTCTCCAACTCATAAGAGTGATATCGCGATTCTGTGTCTGTTGTTCTGCGGCTAAAATACGAAATAACATGAGGTGCACCATTCTTTCTTTGAATGAGTATCGCGCCATATCCTTCCGAACTTGCGTCAGTGTGCAGTTCTATTGGTGAGTCCCTATCAAAAATTGTTAAAACCGGTTCTGTAGTAAGTATATCAACAATCTTTTTGTGAATCTCACTGTGTGTCTCTGACCATTTAATTGGGCCTTTTAATTTTGTTAGTGGGTACAAGGGTCCCACAATACGGGTGAAATTAGGAATAAAACGTCTAAAGTAGGACGCAAGCCCCAGGAACTGCCTAACATGTGTAGCTGTTTTAGGTGTGGGAGCGTTTGCTAAAGCTTGCACTTTTGTAGGATTTGGAGTTACCTTTCCCGCTTTTATTACATACCCCAGATAATCAATTTCCTTTTTCAAGAATGCACATTTCTTAATATTAAACGAGAAGCCCGCGTCAGAAAGTGCTTTTAGCGTGGAATCTAGGCGCTCCAAGCCCTTTTTAACGTCATCAGAGTAGCATAAGACATCGTCCATGTAGGCTAATGCCACGTTATCTTTTAAGGGACCTAGTGCTTTATTAATGCACCTTTGATAAACAGATGCTGCATTTCGAAGCCCGAATGGCATTGCCAGGTACTCATACTGGCCTTCCGGGGTCACAAATGCCGTTCGTGCTATGCTATCGGGATCTACCAATATTTGGTGATAACCAGACGCCATATCTAATGAGGAAAAGTAATGGGCACCATGAAGACGATCTATTTGTTCGTCAATTCTTGGCAATGGGTAATGTTCGGGTCGTGTATTAGAATTGAGCTCCCGATAATCTACGCACATTCTATCTGTATTATCCTTTTTTTTGACCAACAAAATCGGGCTAGCGAAAGGAGAGTGACTTTCTCTAATGACACCTGCATTTAAAAGAGCTTCAACTTTCTGTCTGACAATTTCTTTTTCCGCGGGGGCTAATCTATAGGGGCGCCTTTGCACAGTTTTAGTGGGGTCAATCGGATCTATTCGTAATACACCTGTAGAAACACGTCGTGTCGGAATGCCATCGATAAAGCAGTCGCTGTATTTTTGCAGTATTTTAATTAGAGCAATTTTATTATCACCGTCTAGATCTGTATTTAGAAAATTAAAATAGTTCGGTTTTTCAGTTACACTAATATCTTTACGTAATGAAAATATAAGATGGTCATTATTGATTTCGACATGAATGTTATTTTCTAATAAATCGCGACCTAAAATTACGGGCTCTGCAATGGTGCCGTCCGGTACTATATGAAATAATACTGATAATGAAATACCTTGTACATTGATGGAACTAAGAACTTGTGAATTACATTTTACATTTTCTCTACCTATTCCTGTTAAATATACCAAATTATTTTCAATCGTACCCGAAAACTTTTTAGAAAAGCTACATGTGACTAACGAACAAGCAGATCCACTATCAAAAAGAAATGAAACGGGCTCACCAGATGATGTAGTTAACGTGCTCATCGATGATTTGCGCTCGCAGATGTTGACCTCCTTGACTATCTGTGCGCTGCTCCCTCCTTTTCTTTCTGGGCATGTTGACGCGAGGTGCCCCGACTGTCCACATACATAGCACGTAATCACTCGCGTCTTATCAGGTATTCTAAACGATTGGCTCGGTGTCTTTTCTACGGAACTAGGGTCTTCGCGCTTTTTACGGCAGTCAATAGCTCTATGTCCTGGCACACCGCAACGGTGACATGCTCCCGTAAAGCGACCTTCATTAAAACGAGTCCTTTTAACTTCCATTTCTTGGCTGTCGTTACCATCATGCCTCCGCTTTAATGATATTCCATTAAGAATGCGAAAGAGTTGAGATCTAGTTGCCACATTATGAGAATGAAGCTCCCTACGAATAATGACATCCTTTTGACTCAACACTGACGCTACAAATCCTGTGATTATGTCTTCAGCCATCTCCGTACGGGGAATGCGTTCTATAATGCTCCATAGTCGTATCGCCGCCTCACATGCCGATTCTTTTAGGCCTATTTGAAATCGAAGCACTTCATCGAAATAATCCTGTGGTAACATAGGCTTAGCGAACTTTGCCAATAGAATTTCTTTTATTTGCAACCATGTTAGTTGAGATGGTTGTAGTTTGGTGAGACAAGAAGCGGCCCGTCCCTTAAGGGCATGTGTAAGCAATAATAGTAATTCCGCACCTTCTAACTTCTTGCTATCAACAATGATTTCGGTCACTTTACACCAACCTTCTATGTCCGCATCCACACAATCAGGGTCAAACTGAATCAATTGTATCGGAGGATTACTCGTAGGTTGCGCATGAGTAGCCGCTAATAATCTAGTTAGTAACATTTCCATATTCTGTAGAAAGCTGGGTTCCTGCGATGACGTCGACGCTTTATTACTTTGCATATTCTCTTCAGATCTTTGTCCTGCAAATCCCACTTCTGATAAAGGCACTTGGCCTCTATCATCATTATTAATCGTTTCCATATTCAATAATTATTACTATAATGTGGGTAGACGTGAGTTGACGGACGAAGAGAATAAAACGACGCTTCACAAATCATACACAATATAATCACTAATTATAATCCCTTTTACAATTGTTCATTAACACTTCACAATTCTTAACAGTTCTTAATTTCAATTAAAAATTCAAACACAGACACTCCACCGAACATGTAATGTAACGATGCGATGCGAATCGAATGACAAAAGTAATGTCCGTCTCGACTCACACGCTAATGCTCACTAGCGCCCGGGGTTGTGTCAGAGTGTCGAAACGTCACTCTCAAAAATGTCAATGCGCCGTCAAGTAGGTACGTCATATTATGTCATTATTTTAATTTAAGATAAATATGTTTACTTTTTAAAACAAAAAAATCACGTAGTATTTTGGGCTCATATTGTTTTGACAATATTTCCAGAATATACCTACAGTACGTTCAAAGATAATATGTTAGCGTCAACACACCATAAACAAGCTTGTCCCGAGTAACGGCTATGTTAATAACGTAGGAGATAAAATACTATATTCTAAGTTTGCTAAAGATAACGATTTCTACTAAAGTAATGTCAAAAAGTGTGTTAATATTATTATTTTATTCGTTAAAATAATATTTATATGTGTTTTTCTTTGAATAATTAGCACAAGCGACATTATTTATTAGCTTGCTTTCCAATACAAACTTTCATCCCCATTTTCGCCCCCTTAAGGGATGATTTCCAGGATAAAAAGTACTATGTCCTTCCCAGGATCTCAAACTATCTTCTTACCAAATTTCACCTAAATCGGTTCAGTAGATCCAGAGATTATCCCCTACGTCACAAACCCAGAAAATCACAAACTTTAACTATTTATAATATTAGTATAGATATAAACTAGTAGCGTCAAGCTCGCTTTTCTACAGTAATTTTTAAAGTGCGTTGAATTACTTATCAAATAAATAATTAATAATAAATTTATTGGCTTACTAATATGTATTTATATTTGGTTTTTTATTTTAGTATGTAAAAGTATATTTTTGAAATAGTCCTAGTGTAGATTTTTTCTTTAAATTAATAATGTACAACAAGTTCTTTACTTTGAATTTTAATAATATCAATATTTTTTTCTTAAAAGTAAGTCTACGACTATGACAAATAAATCTTAGATCAATCCCGTATTAATATAAACTAAAGAACCCATATGGTTTTTATATACATTTATACAAGTAATGAACGTAGGTGCATTAAAATTAAATATTATCTCAAAAAACTTACCTGTTCTTACAAGTAACATCATTCTTATCTTGAACTTAATGAAAGTTTCTAGTACTTAGAGTGTTCTTAGTTAACGCCAAACTCAACAAATTATACACTATATCTTATATACAGAAACTTAGAAAATCTAATAACATATATATCTATCTATACATATAGTAAAATTGTAACTAAGCCGAATCTGTACATTAAATATTTTTTGGAAAATCTTATTGAAATAAACATTATGATCGATACAGAGGCTGAATCTATAGTTTTTGAAATTTTTATCTGTCTGTCTGTCTGTTACCGCATCACAGAAAAACCACTGTAGAGATTTTGAAATTTGATATAGTGATAGTTGGTTATCCGGGTCAACATATAGAATACTTTTTACTGCGGGAAAATATCTCATTTCTGAGAAAAAAATACAAAAACTGCAATGTAAGAGTATACAATGCAATGTAGTACTAATATGTAAAACCTAAGAATTTAGTTCTTGGTCATCTGAACGCGGGCGGAGCCGCGGGCAATGCTAATAAATAAATAATAATTAATTTAATAGCTTACTAATTAATATTGTAGTGCACAAGAAAACCTTTAAAAATCCAATGCAATTTTTAACCTGATACGAAACTCACACGTAGAACTCGAACACTATCCATTGCCGTGATCAGAACCGCTAGACCAATGAGGCAGATACATCAATTATGTTTTTAGAGGCAGATTTGTCCTGGCCTGGTTAAAACAAGCTTTCGTCAAGAGCCACTACATAAGTTTAATGAATTAATATTTAAATTTTAATATTATAATGGATTTTAGTCAAGATTATAATCGACCATGATTTTTGTTATTACTTATAGTTTCCGATTTCACCATTCACGCCCACTTAAATAATTCATTGAGTACATTTCACATTAAATTGAACTTTCATTTGTAGCTCTCAATTTTATTTAACTATATGATTGATATGAAATGTTCTATTTTAACTCACAATTACTCATATTATCTCCTATATGTGTATAATTAAAAAGATAAAATCAACAGCTGTAAAGCCTTCGTACAGTATACGATTATCAATCTTATTTTATTAGTAATTAAGGTAAGAAATGTTATCTCTCCATCTTAACCCACCTTTGCGCAAACAACTTATCAGCTGTGAATCCTACTTCATTTTTCACTTCTAAATACCTTCAAAGTAGTTAACAATAATGAGAAACGATTATGGAGATTCTTATACAGAACATGTAAAATTAAACAAACAAAAGATAGTTAATTTTGTTATTAAGTCTGGTGGTAAATAATGGGGATCTTTTTTTATTATTTTACAATATTTTAATTATAAAGACATACACTTTTTCAGCTTCACTTATAATCAACTATAGTACCACACTAGCGACTCACCCTTGCTCCTCCAGACTTACATTTTAACGTTTAGTATAGATTTCTCAGAAATGAGATATTTTCTCGCAGTAAAAATTAAAAATCCTATGTTTTGACCCGGATAACCAGCTATGATATATAAAATTTCATCAAAATCCTTCCAGCGGTTTTCCGTGATGTGGCACAGGCATACAGACACACAGACAGACAAAAATTCACCCTACAATGTCACTAACTCACAATCTCACAAACTTTACCTTTTTATAATATTAGTATAGATTACATTATTTTGAAGTTATAATTAAAACAAGTTCTGAAGATGCGCTATTTTTCTACAGGTAGTATTATATTTATGTTCGAGAAAAAGAAGACGTTAATATGCAATTATTCTTTTATAAGAAACAGAATATATAGTATCACAAGAAATCATGTTTTAGAGCCGTAATAAAAGTCAATTGTATTTACGTGAATATTATCAAACATTATCAACAATAAACCTAATATGTATATTTACAGTTAAAAATGTTAAGAAATAAAGCGTGTTCTACAGTGAAAGTTTAATTTAAGCTTAACGCTATTTTAATATAAAACGTATGAAATATCTTTCAGATTTAACGAATCTAGTAATTGCTCTAAAAAACATTTTATTATAAAAGGTAAATGATACATAATCTACACTAATACTATAAAGGGGTAAAGTTTGTGAGTTTGTTTGTAATGGATAAACTAAAAATCCGCTGAACCGATTGAGATGAAATTTGGTATGAAGATAGTTTGAGACCTAAGAAGGATATAGGATAGTTTTTATTCCGAAAATCATCCCTAAAGAGGGTAAAAAAGGGGATGAAAGTTTATATGAGGAATCAATCTCAAGTAAGGAATATAAAACTTATCATCGTACCTTTGTATATACTAATGTTGTATCTATCTATTCCATACCAACAGTTAAAACGTACCTAGGGACGAACCCGTGCAAAACAACGCCAGTTTTAAATAATTTTAATAAAAATTACTATTAACTTTGTAGAACGAATATTTTGTAATAAGCAATTTGTGGTTAAGAGTTCTCTTACTAGTGTTCGCCCAGTGTAAAATTCGACCATCTTTATTATTGAAAATTTGAATTAAAAAATATTACTGAATAGAAGATAAGTGTTAAAAATGTACAGTGAAAGATTGACATCTAGTATTGACGATTTTTAATCAATCTATCTATATCTTTTAAAAATTAAATCTAAAGTTAAAGAATCCAGTATATCGCTTAGTTATATATTATTCGAATATCGGTTTAATTATGATTTTTATTCTATAGATAACTAAATATTTCATGTCTCTGCCGGTGACTGATGAGATCTCTCATACCCTGGGCGCAGCAGCCGAGAAAACTTTAGAATAAAATTTAGAATGGGTCTACCCTTAAGGGTGGTAAAATTACATTTGAAAGATTTTGAATTCGGTGCACCTTTTTGTTAAAAAATATTGAATAGATTTAGCATATTTTGTAATCTTGGCCAGCGTGATGGACTATAGCCTGATCCCCCACCTATTGAAGGGAGACTTGTGCCTAGCAGTAGCCACATTAACAAGGGCTGAATATATTTATAGAATTCAAAAGGGCGAAGTTAGAAGGGTTTCACGATATCTTCGCCAAAGAACGGATTTTTAAGAATTATTTTTGTAAATTAAAAAAATATGAATAGGTTAATGAATTTTAAGGGTTGTTCCATATAAAATTAAGAAAAAGATCAACTACCTTTTATTTCAGTCGATTTAACATTATATTATGTATTATAACATGCAGGTACAACAGGTGATACTTAATATGTATATAGCTCACCGTTCAACGCGCTGCTTTTCCCTGTAAGAATCATGTTTGCGAATTAAACAGCATACGCGTGCAAATTTACACTCATTAATTTATAATAGTTAGCTTCTGTATTTCACTGTAAATATCATACTACTGTCATAAATGCGAAAGTTTTTATTTGTGTATGTATGTTTGTTACGTCTTCATCTCATTGTCATCTATATAATATTGTGTTTTGTTAGAAACGGATAGTATATAATAAGTATAAACACTAAAAAGGTATATTGGCACCATCTCGATAGAAGTTCAAAATTTTTTAGCACAACCTGTACTTGGAGACAAAATCTTCCACTGCAGTCGAATAGGGTATCCTTGAACAATGAGCATGAGAATGAGAAAATTCAACATAAACTAGTACATAAGTATTATTGCATTGACACGTTTATCTTTGTGATTATTATTGAATTTACTACTTTATATTCGAACGCATGAAATGAGGAAAAATTCAATCACGTCCTATTTGATTATAAAGCAATTGTATACGTTTGTAGTAGGTACAGTCCAATTTAAAATCTATTATCGTCTTTTATACAAACGAGCCGTAATATTTACTGCTCAAGTGTTGACTAAATTGAGATTCTAGAACGTAAGGTAAGGTGTATCTTTTCAATTAGCTTTAATAGTTAATAATTTAATATTTATATATTTAATTAACAAAAAAGAAAAAAAAATACTATTTTTTTAACTAAAAAATTGAGTAAGCACTCAAAGGGTTAATTCATTCAGCCTTATTATATTATTTTATTTTATAGCTATTTTATTATTTTATTATTCTTTTTCAAATAGATCATCTAAAATTTTTTTTTTTTTAAACATACAGGTACACCGGCCAAACTTCAACATTTTATATTTTTTCTTGAAATTTATATAACATAATAAAAATATTGATAGTAGTTAACTAGCGAAAATATTGCGTAATTCAAAAGTGACTTTTATTTGGATTTAGAAGCAATCAAATTTCATGTTTCTAGACACCGTTTACAAAGATATGACCCGGTTTGAATGTGCATTGTGTCTAATTCAGACATAATAGAATTTTATCAAGTAGAAAAAAAATAAACAGGTCGATATGCATCAATCAAAAAAACTGTTGATTTGAGAAGATTTATACCCGTAATATTCAACAACAAACAATTTTCCTCTACAATTTAATTATATAGGAATAATAATTTTTGTACAATTTTATTATATTACATAATATCATATTCTAATCATGCATTTATTTATATTATTAAAACAACTCATGGTTCTGCTACAATTTTTTTTTAATGATTTGCGGTTATCAATAGCAATTATTCAGCTATTATAGATAAACAATAAATTATTTGTCACTTTATTTCTTGTGAATAAAATAAACGTGCAGTGACTCAGCAACTCGCTTTCTACTTCCGCCTTTTGGGATAGTGATTAGCAATCCATTGTCAGAATAAACCAAGACATTACCTAGTCGTACACCTCATAGTACAAGTCTATTATCTATATTATGTTGAAATCGCACCCACTATGTATATTGGATTGACAGTCATCACAGTCTTTATAAATTTTTTTTAATTGTTACTCTCATATGTAAAAACTACTGAATAGATTTTAATGAAACTTTACAATAATATAGCTCATACATCAGAATAACACATAGACTACTTTTTGTCACGCCAAAATGTACGGTTCCCGTAGGATTTGTTTCTGATTTTCTAGAGATGAACCCGAGCGAATCGAGGTTGAGCCTCTAGTAACTAATATAAGTGTGTTAAAATAGAGATACAGATTTGTTTTACAAGTACATCACACAGAGAGACATACAAATGTTAAAGCTAGTGATTACGCAGTCAAAATCAATAGCAAAAATCACTAAAAAAACAAATGTAATCAATAACCAAAAACAATGCAAGCAATACTCACTCTCACGATATTAACAAATATGAGATAATTAATTACAATACGCATTGTTCTAAGAATTGCTAGAATGCCATAATAGAGGCGGTACCTAAACCCAATGGTGGGGAAAAACACATACTAGAAAGGTGCGAGATACTGTACGGTAGGTATACGTCAATTTGAGTTTTATTCTATACGACATAAAGACTACGAATTTTAGTTTAAAGTAATGTTAGAAAGGTGGACTTAATGAGTGCTAATAGTGACATAAGTATTCGTCTATATGGCATTGGTGATAAGGTTTAATTTGCAGTATATGTATACTGCAAATATATATGGCTAGGTTAATATACAAGTATATAAAATTGCGTGACGGAACAGTGTCACAGTATGCCTTTATTATGTCTTTAGTAAATAGAAGCGGATAGACAAACTTTCTAGAAAACAACATTTATTTATATTATACTGTATACAAATCAATCAAAATATATTTACAGGACGTAATAAATATTAGCTTAATAGGGACGAAAAAAACAAAAACCCTAGAAAAGTCCCTTCACAATCGATCCAATTCAAAAAAGAAAATAATTCTCCTAGAATTGTTGGTATAAATATTACTAATATTATAAATGTGAAAGTTTAGATGAATGTTTGGATATTTGTTACTCAATCACGCCAGAATTGAACGGATCTGGATGAAATTTAGCACATAAATAGATTATAGCACAAAGGCTAATTTTTATCCCGGAAAATGTACGGTTTCCGTGGGATAGATTTGTTTTGTTCTTCTACAGGTGAACCCGAGCGAAGCAAGGGTAATACACTAATAAAGAATTCTTATAGAATCATAAAAAAAATAAGTCCTATAATCCATCTTTTTTTTGTTTAATCGGTATTGACGAGCTTTAGGATTATCAATAAAAAAAATTTACACATTTTTTCTTTATATACATCGGTAAATTCTATTCTAATGTTTTCCTCAAATTTTCAATAACGATTATGGTCAAATTTCGACCATTGAAAGAAAACTGGCAATATGTCAAAGCTGTCAAGCGTATAGCTAGCTAGCTAACTAGGTCCTGTGATTTAGCCTTTGCTATGAAAAATAATGTATATAATATATAGGTATGTATATTAAATACGTCCCTTTGTCTTTATACTTGTAATATTATAGATTTAAGCAACGCCAACTTTGTCACATTTTATGACAGTTGCTTATATTCTACGTTAAGTCATACACTTACTTACACACAGATAACTGTGTACTTAATTTCATCTAAATCCGTACAGTCGATCCAGCGTACAAAGTGTCGCTTCAATAAGGGCAATGCGATGAAGATAATATAAATCTACCAGTGGTTCACCCTCGTTCTGCTCGGGTTCGTCCTTACTTTAGTTTTCAACCGACTTCAAAAAGGAGGAGGTTCTCAATTCGACTGTATTTTTTTTATGTTTGTTACCTCAGAACTTCGTCATTTATTAACCTATTTGAACCATTTTTGTTTTGTTTGAAAGTGTATTCTTCCAAATTGGTCCCATTTAAATTTCAAAAAAAAATACCACCCCTAAGGGTGGAAAAACAGCTAATGATGAATTTAACCTACTTCTAATTGTCATATTGACTTGAAACTTTGCAAGTGTTTCTATTTCCGTTGATAGTACAGTGGTTTGGTATTGTTGACCTGATCTGATGGTAAGGCCAGAAGGTGGATAGGTGGAACTCTTCAACGACTAATAGTAGATACTTAGAGTTTGGGCTTATTTTGTTTGATTTGAACTTTATAATTATTACTTTGCTACTACTGTCTACACTAAAAAGGGAAAAATAAAAACTTTTTAACAAAAAAATAAAAACCGACTTCAAACAAAAGCACTAAAAAGTAAAAAATAACTGATTGGTAGTTTTCATTTACTATACATACCTAATCAAATATTTTCGAAGTCGGTGTGCTTTGACTAAGTAATTAAAGCCTACCTATTAAATACATACCTAATAAAATATTTTCGAAATCGGTACCAGCCCATACAAAGCAAAGCAAATATATGAGAAACAATTTTAAAATACGGTAGGAGGATAAAATGAAAGGAGCGGTAGTAACAAATACAATTTGACTTTAACAGTACACACATAATATTGATCGTTACCGTTATTTCTTGTGCAAAATTGTGTTTTAAATTTATACTTACTAAATATTTTAAAAAAGTGATGGATAGAACGACGTTTGGTAGAAAAAGTGTGAGTACTCATATGTTTTATAAGCAATAGCAGTGAATTATGTCCAAATCAGGTGGCTTAAAGACATTTCTTGATTAATTATAAACTATCGTTCTCCTTGAATACGTACACGTATAAGAAAATACGTTCAACCAAACTAATGTCTAGTCTAGCCACTAGACCATGAAAACTTGATAAAAACCATACTATAAATAGATTTTCATATTTAAAACACATAAACTTATAGGTACATTCGAGAAAACTCCTTAGAAATATACATATCTAGGTATATAAGAATTTAAAATACATAAAAAATTAAACATTTTACTATAAAACTGACAAAATAATTTTGCAAAGAATTGTTCAAATAAATGTCAATTGACGTTTATGTAAAATTAATTAAATAAGAAATAAATCTTAAAATGTATATTCTAAAAGCCTTATAAACAAAAGAAAAATTTAGCTCAGTTATAAATTGTTAAAATCACCAACATTTTTAATTTTATAAATAATTTTATGTATGTATATAACATAATTTTATGTACCTAAAGGTAAACCTATGTAGTTGGACGTTATTTTTAGTTAAATTGAAATATAAATCATCATCAGGACAAATAAATATAGTATACGCACAAAATATCATAGATTACTTATTTATATATTTAATTAATATATAATGCACAGTTGGCAGTCGTATTACAAACCCGAAGAGTTTCTTTTTTTTGTTTGTTTAAACGGACTTCTAACTTCTAGCCTTTTTGTTGAACAAATTTTTAGCTATTTAACGTCACACTACAACCCTTAACAGCATGTAAATGCAAACTTATGCATACTTTCCCATATTTGCTATTACAACCTTTTTAGTGGCCTTTTTACTGGACATGATTACCTCCAGAGAACAATTAAATCTACCAGTTTCCTTTACCATAATAACAAATGATAATCTTGTAAAAATGTTAAATGGACTTCACACATGAAAATTTTAGAGGAATCTCACTTCACTTGCTATTCCAAATAAGCCATTACTGTTTTTCTTTTAATTATCTTATAAAATCAAAGGTAGAAAGTGCTGAAAATACATTACAAATTTTCATACCATACTAATATTACGCTTTATTATCAGTTTAACGCGCAACGGGGTCGTGTAGACAGGTTCGTAGCACCCCGCGACTCTTTCAGCGAAGTGCGCAGACGACGATCTTGGCATGCTTACTGCGAGACCCACCCTGTTAAAAACGATATTTGGGTAAACCAACCTTTTTGTCTTTGACTTACAAAAAAATTTTTTCTTATGGTATTCAGTGACAAACGAGCCACCTGATGCAAAGAGGTACTGTACTGTCACCCATAACACCTAAAATTCATGTACTTAAGTTAAAACATTACAAAAATAACTATTGAATTCTGTAATATATAGTATATATATATAGTTATATAATGGTATTAAAATTTCGAATGTTTTCTTTTTTCTACTCTTTTTCGAGAAATTACCAAATTCCTACAAAAATTATCACGAAAATTTTATTTTCTTCCAGTTTGGAGAACATTTGAAAAAGGAAAAGTATACAAAATATTTGGACAAAGCTCTTGATTTGGAGTCACCAAACAAAAACGGTTCTTACAAGCAATGGATACGATCATGGCCGTGCATACCACGAAAGAAGACGTACCTTTCATCCGCGGATAGCATCTTAGACTTACCTACTTATAGCTATGCCACTTGTAAGTAAGTCTATATTACTGACGTGAACTCCTCCAGGTAAATTTCCAAGAAATTAATTAAATTTCGAAGAAATTCATTTTTAACTGTAACACCGGTGCGCCCACGGTCGTTGAGGGATCTAGAAAATAGAAAATAGCATCTCTTGACTAATTTCGGCTACGGCTGTCAATTTCACTAAGCGTTGCCGATATTATAGTGCACAAGTATGTACGCAACTTATTGAGAATTGTTTGACAGAAAGTCTTAGTAAAATTTTATCTGACTCGAGATTCGAACCCAGGACTTTAGTATTTGCAGCCGTAAATGCTATCCACTAGAAGAATGATGCACACTTAATAATAATGACGCAAGTTGTCACTCAATAAAAATGCAACGTTTAATATGTACAACTGTCGTATACTCGTAATTATCATTTGATCTTACAAAAAATGTTAACTATTATTTTATAACTGCTACTGTAGTCAGAGGCGTTTCCATAAACTACCTTACTCATATAAGCCCTCAAAGACATTTTTATAATATACATCTATCTGTACTAATATTATAAAGAGGCATTTGTGAGTTTGTGAGATTGTGAGTTTGTGACGTTGTTAAGGGTAATCTCTGGATCTACTGAACCGTTCTAGATGAAATTTGCTAAGAAGATAGTTTGAAACCCTGGGAAGGATATAAGACTTTTTATCCCGGAAATCATCCCTTAAGGGGGTCAAAATAGGGATAACAGTTTGTATTGGGAAGCTAGCTAGGGACAAACCCGAGCGAAGCGAGGGTGAGTCGCTAGTATGTAAATAGATGTAAAAATATAGAAACAATTATCGATTTCGTTATACAAATTTTCGATTTAGATCTACTAACCTTTAAATAATCAATGCCCTAATTTAGATAAAAAGTCAAAAATAAATATAGAACATGTAACACAAGCTTTAGCCAGCCATTCATCATTAGCACTATCTGCTAAAAAAAATTATATTACAATTATTTCTTATAGTTTCTACAAGACAAGCAATTTGTTCTCTGTTTCGAACTATTTTGTATAGAATTGCAATACCAATTATAACTGAACGACACTAATAAACTAATCAAGTCGCAGTATAACGATTACTATGAATGTATACAGTTTAGTTACACCAATTAAATGACATAGAAAAAATGTCCTTATAAATGTTGTAATTGACATTCATTTTTAACTCCCTATATAGAAAAATAATTCTTCTTAGGGCATTGCTTTGAAAAATTTGATATTTGTTACTAATTTAAAACTATCCCCACGTATGCATAGTCCATACATAACAGAAGCTATCATAAAAAGTGCGGCAGCTTTTATTTAATCATCGCCAATCAATAGATCTTTTATCGCGATAGAAATAAATGGAATAATGGGTTTGACAATTTTCTTTATAGAATGCGATGCAATTTGAATATTAATAAGTTATAGGAAAATATAAATTGTAAATGTTTTATTGCCATTTTGAGCTGCTTGGCCTTTATGCGTCTAACGCACAACTTAAGGGCGGTTTCGTTTGGAGTTCCGCATCAAAGATATTTATAGGCGGTATTCCTGTTAACAAAAGCATTCAACAAAGGAAATATAAAAACACATTATGACTATTCAAAGTTATATTTTTATCAAAGAAAGAGTCAAAGAAGTGAACGAAAGTCACTGAAAATCGTTATTTAACACACAATTTCACAAAATTTTCGATTTATTCACACATTTTACATTTTACAGGTTTATTCTAGTTTGGGAGTCAGAGGCTTCAACAGGCTTATGTAAAAACAAAGACTTGTGTCAATAAAGATACATTTTATTCTATATTTCTTTTTAAATAACTCTTTCACCAACCAAAAAGTAGCAGACGTATCTAATTGCACTAACTGCAGACTAATAGGGAAGTCACAAGGGAGTCGTAAGAGGAGAATAACGGCACCTGTGTTCATGCCTAAAGTAATCTATAGTAGATTGACTGTGAAGGAAAAAAACTGGCCGAAAAACTTTTTAAAAGTTCATATTTTAATATTTGTAATAAAATTAATCATATACTTTTATACTTAGTTCCAGAACTCTTAGACTGGAGCAATGATAACATATTAGTGGCAGCGCTAGGTATGAATTACCACAAGTGGAGTTGGAGAACCCAAAGCCTAACAAGCCAAGGATATACGCAGAATGAAATACTATGCTGCAAGTTTGACCCTAGAGGTGAACTATTAGCTGTAAGTAATTATTGGTAGCTAATTTTTGCTCGCAGCTTCGCTCGTGGACAAATTTTATCAAAATCTGTTCAGCGGTTTCAAATTGGTCAAAATTGCTTTCACATTTATAATATTATTATGAATTTTATTGATTTTTGAATTCCTTCTTGAACGGCCCTAGAGAACTGAACCTTAGATACTCGTATGTGAATCGACAGTTGGCGATAACGCCAGTAATAATCAGGCTCACTATAATCTACTTCCGACTGACATGTTTAGATTTTAAATCACTAAAGCAAGTGCCACTTCTTATAAATATACTATTCAAGGTGATAACAACTGATAGAAATTCATATTGTCTGTACGTAAACGGTTAATACAAATATTTGACACATCTCGGAATAGAACTCGCGTTTTCTGGCGTAATAGAAAGTTTAGACCAAATATACCTACTGTGCCTTAACAGTCGTTAGGATTATTTATTATTAGCACTTGTGCCGTAAATACGTAAATTATTTATTTTATGTACACATATAATAAAAAAGAATATAGACTTAATTTACTTTTTAACTCAATAAAACACGATTTTCTCATGGGAATTCAAACGTAAGAGAATGAAAGTACCAATAAAAATTGTTTTATTTTATGTAATATTAATCAATAGAATTAATATACCGTCAACACGATTCCCGCTTCTATACTACGATACCATTGACCACTTGAAATGAAACTTGGAAATGTATACATTTAATAAAATTGTAACTAAGCCGAATCTGTACATCAACATTTTTTTGGAAAATCTTACTGAAATAGACATTATTAACGATACAGAGGCCGAATCTATAGTTTTTTGAATTTTTGTCTGTCTGTCTACGAACGAATCACGGAAAACGACTGGACAGATTTTGATGAAAGTTATGATAATAGCCGATTATCCAGGTCAACATATTATAGGATACTTTTTACTGCGGGAAAATATCTCATCTCTGAGAAATCTATACTAACCGTTAAAACGTAGGGACGAACCCGAGCGGAGCGGAGTCAAAAGTTCAGTATCATTTTCTCTTCCATTTTTTTATATTTAGTAGTTATTGACGAGTTTTAGTGTTATCACAAAAAAAATTAGAAACAGATTTTTTTATATGGACAAAAAATTTCAGTACGTTTTTTTCTTCTATTTTTTATTTCCTCACTAGATATTGAAGAGATTTAGTGTTATCAATAAAAAAATATTATGTTCGAATTTCGACCACTGGGCGAATACTAATATTTGAAAATAGCTAAATTAGTGCTAATAGAACAATACACTTTAAATATTCTGGACACTGCTATTTTGACTTCTATTAAATTACAAAACACATAGATATTTTTGACTTACAAAGCAGAAGGCACTGAATTTTTTTGTATAATATACATTTTTTTTGTTAATAATTAATATTTCACGATTTCTTCGCGCGAAAGAAAATATTCTACTCTTAATGGCTAAAACTAAATCTAAACAGATTTATTTTGTTAATTGTAATATTTAAATATATTAACAAACAGAAAATTCTATTTTTAAACCGAGTCTTGTCTTGAATAATATTTCAGCTAGGTACCGACAAAAAGACAGTGGAAATTCATAACAACTCTATGAGCAAGAGAGTGGGGATCAACACTTGTCGCTGCGTTGATAAATATAACCGTGTCTGTTCAATAACTGCAGTCGACTGGAGTCCAACAGGAAATTCCTTTGCTACGTAAGTAGGTCTATAAGAATCATTTTAATTTATCTATAAATAAATAGGTATAATAATATACATATTATTATTAGCATAGTGATTAAACATTATATAAATAATTTATAACTTTTTGTAACTAATTTTTTCCTGCAGCTCCACCCGTATAGTAAATCCATACTAATATTATAAATGTAAAAGTGTATTTGTTTGTTTGTTTGTCCTTCTTTGACGTGAAAACGGAATGATGAATTAGCGTGATTTTTTGTGTGGAGATAATTGGAGGGCTGGAGAGTGACATAGGCTACTTTTTAACGCGGGAAATTATCTATCCCATGGGAAAACACGTTATAATACAATCCAAAAAAATATTTATGATCAGAATTGCTTGAAACTTGGTATAAATGATCTTCAATACAATTAATTAAATACGTGTTTTAGCATTTTCTGAAATTCATCTCATAAGTGGATAAAATAGCGAATGAAAGTTTGTATGAAACCTACCATTTTAGAGCTTTTTTTGTAGTTTTAGCGCTAGCGAGGCCGCCGGTTCTGTTAGTTATAATATAATTGTCATTAATGCAGGATTTCCATTTTCAATCCCATTAATATTGTACTCTTAAGTGCGAAAGTTTGGATGGATGTTTGTTAGTCAATTACAGATAAACTATAGTCCAGAATAGTACATAGGTTACTTTCTAAGCCGAAAATTATACGGTTCCCATGGGACAGGTTTGTTTTTGTTTTTCAATAGAGACGAACCTATGGGAGAGTTGCTAGTTTCATTTAAAAATCAAGTCGTTACAACGTGATAAAGTAAGTGTGTTTGTACACACATTTACTGACTCAAAAGCTTTCATTTGCTATATTTTCGTGTGACTATTATCATCATCGATCACTACTTCTTTATGACAAAACATCTTGAGTATATTAACCCCCGTATAATTTTTGGACTCATATCACATCCACTTATGTCTCTTCCAATACTTTTCTCCCATATTTAGTATGTATGTATATATTGGAGTAAAACTTACATACTTGTATAATCAATCAACACAATTTTAAAAAGCATTAAAATATATTTGTATGTACGGGTATATCTGGAATTACTAAACTTATTGAAATACACATTCGGATAGAATACTATATTAGCCTTGACATTAGTCAAGGCTAGTATACTAATAAGGCATTCTTAACGATCGAAAGCATGTAAAAAAATGAAATAATATTTACTCTCTAGAGGTTGCTCTTGGGGACTCGTGTCATCATTTTCCCGCGCCGCTACGGTCATAAGCTGGCAGCATTTCTTGAGAGAAGCGATTCTCCTGGTCCGAGTATCACCCGATGCCCGATACTTGGCTGTAGCAGCTGTCAACACATCTATGGTTTTGTTACTTACTTGGCCAACTTTGGAAAAGTACTCAAGCTTTGAATCAGATTGGACGATTAGGGTTTGGATACGAATTTTTTTTATTATTTATATATGATTTTATAAATAAAAAAAAATTGTTCTACACATATTTATATTATAAGAAAATCAAAAGTAAAATAAATTAGTAGTACTGTTTGTAAAAGTTATAAGGTACATTCGACATTGTAGTGTTTTTATTTATATTGCCATAATATTATATTTTACCATTATATTTTTCTAATTTAAACTTGATATTTTCATGTTTAGACTATAACCTGGCATCCATGGCGCAGCGCTTTGCTTGGTGTTGGTGCAGTAACTCCTGACTTGCAAGCACGTATTGCCTTGTGGGACGCACCGACATCTAAAGTAAAAGAAACGAGTCTAGGTCCAAAGCGATACAGCCTAGACACAATGCTTTTTAGCCATCGAACCGGCGAGCTGGTTTTAAGCTTGTGGAATTCCGGTAAAATAGCACTATAAAAATATTATGTAGGATTACGAATTAGAACAAAAATGATAGTAATATAAAATATACATATATACGAACAGCTGGATGATGCACTTAAATGATTTCTGATTTACAGTTAACTTGCTCACCAGCAAATTTTCCTAAGTAGAAAGTTAAACTAAAACTAAACCACCAATAACTCCAACATTATAAAATTAAATAGATACTTTTGAGAATATATTTCGTACGTACATACACTTCAGAAAATATTTTTGAATATAACTAAACGAAATAAAAAAAACTATCACATTACAACTTACTTTACTGGTTAGACAGAGCAATTCTTCATCCAAAGACGTGTACTCAATTAGTCGTGATGAGTGATCCAGAGACTGTAGTGGACCAGTGGGGAGAAGGACGGACTGGATTAGATCGAGTGCGGACTATGGTTTTCAGTCCAGATGGGACTAAGCTTGGTAAGAAGGCATTTTGTTTTTTTAAATAGTTACTAGTACCTATCTATTATAAATAATTTGTCTTAGCATTCAAAGAGATCTTGGTCGCCTGGTATACGGCAGATATTTGCTGGTTTTTTATTGCGTGCACCAGCTTAAGTTAAGCTGGGCAAAGTGGACATTAAATGTCTATCCAGAGTCATACACGGACTAGAGATTTCATCAGAGTCTGAAGCCAGGATCTGAAACTTCATCCTTCCTGCCTTGGATACATATTTGGGCACTATGTTACAGGAGGTGATGCGGGCATCCATTTTAGTAATGATGACTCCATTTTAAATACAATATTAATCAATTTTAACCAAATTAAGTAATATTTTATATTATAGCCACTGCAACATCAGACGAAGACCTAATAATCTGGAATTTTCTCCCAGAAGACAATTCAAAAAAGAAGACGAAATGCAAAAGGTTCTCTGCATTGCCTGTGTATTTGGATGAAGCGATTCAAGGGCACTCCCTCAGATAATATGAACTTTAATAACAAAGAAGTCACCGGTTGTACTTCACTGTAAATTTGTATAATATAATAATAATTTAATTAATTTTTATTGTAATGTTAGGCCAGATTTTTATTAAAATTACTGTAAAATTGATACGTTATATTTAATTTTTTTATGTACTATATTACTTATTAACAGATACATACATACATATTTCTTTATTGCATATATTAATGAAACAATACGAAGGGTTTATTCATCCGTTTGTTGGATATTATAATTAATAACGGCAACATTTTCAGTGAAAGAAAAAATTGAAAACATTTAGACCTCAATCTATCAAGTTAATCTATACTCGTACTAATAATATTATAAAGAGGCAGAGTTTGTTTGTTTTCAGAACGCAATCTAAATAAACCTCAGCAACTACTATTCCGATTATTAAAATTATTTTGTATTATATAGCCCATTTATTGGGGAAGACATAGACTATATATCATCATCCAACTACCCAAGGGAGTGGAGCAGTAATCATAAATGTCAAAAAATCCTTCCATACATTTTTGACAGTTGACTTATTAAGTTAATTCAACATTTACTATTTATTGTAAAACTGATGTTTATAATCAAACAAATTTAACGCGGGTGAAACCGTGGGGCACAGCTAGTTATTTATATAGCATTTTAATATAGTATAGAATATTTTAGCATTATGAGACCTAAATTTTAATGATAAAATCTAATTTTAATTAACTCCTCAACAGCGTTTATTTATTTTATTTACAGAGGTGGTCCATACTAAAGGAAAATTTTCCAAAATATCGACTTTTACCTTCCTTTTCTTAAATACAACTCTATAGCATTATATAATGCTAGCGACTCACACTCGCTTCGCTCGGGTTCGTCCCTAGCTTGCATCCCAATACAAACTTTTATCCCCAATTTCACCCCCTTACGGAGTGATTTTCGGGATAAAAAGTATCCTATGTCCTTTCCAGGGTCTCATACTATCTTCTTACCAAATTTCATCTGAATCAGTTCAGTAGATCTAGAGATTACCCCCTGCATCGTTACAAACTCACAAACTTTACCTCTTTATAATATTAGTATAGATATGCAAAAATAATAATATAAATATATGATCATTAAGTTCATAGAAGTACAAACCAATCTTTCTATAAATATTTTTCCCAAATAATAGATTTGGATTTTAATTATAAAAACCTCTAAATACAGTAGTACTCATTCATATATTTGAATTTATAACGGGCAAACGACTAAGACAATATAGCTTGCCACTACGAGTATAATATCAGATCCTTATCCAAATCTTGATAAAGTTTTCATTTATAACTCATGTTGAATATACATTATTTTCAAGATCGTAGTTTAGTTTACAAGATTAACTTCATTGAATCGTCAGGTGCCGACATCGCAATACTGTTGGCTAATTTATTCCCTTATTGTACTATGCATCTATTGAATGCAAGCTAGCGGATTGCCGCTGGCTATGTCTGCCCTTTTCAATACCTCATAATTGGGCGAAATGATAATCGCCTAAATTATTCTAGTACCTAAAATATATTATATGAGCATATTTGATAAAACAGTTAGTAAAAAAGTTAATATGAAATGAATAAAAAAATAATTAGTTCATTCAACGTTATTCTTTAGATTAGATAGTGAACTGTGAAATTATAAATCAATATAGATAATAATTTTAAACATACATAAAAATAAATAAATAAAAGATAAAAATGCCTTTATTATTCCATTGGCATGTACATTCGTATAAGTAGGCATGGATATTGTTAGTCCGATATATATGATGACGACACGTTTGGCTCAGTTTGTAGTGGCCCTAATTGCTGCGCCAGCGGTCGCGGGTTCGAGTCCCACTAGGGGCATTCAATTGTGTGATGAGCACGAATGTTTGTACTCTAGTCATGGGTGTTTATATTTATAATATGTATGTATTTTAAAGTTATATATGTATAATGTATCAACTATCTGGTATCCATAACACAAGCCTCGTAGCTTACCATGGAACTAGATGGTGTTGTGTGTATAAATAAATATATATATATATATATATATATATATATATATATATATATATATATATATATATATGCCATTTGGGCCCCTCTTCAGGCCTCCTCCAGAGATTGCCACTTGTCGCGATAGTTGGAAGGCTGGAGAATGACTTTGAATTTAACCGCGGGAGATTATCTCATTCCCACGGGAAAACACGTTATAATACAACTTAGAAAAACATTATGATCAGAATTACTTGAAACTCGGTGGTGGTGCTCTTCAATACAATTAAATAAATGTTTTAGCATTTTTCGCAATTCATTCCATAAGTGGATAAAATAGGGGATGATAGGTTTGTATGTTACTTACCTTTTTAGAGATTTTTTGTAGTTTTAGCGCGAGTGAAGCCGCCGGTTCTGCTAGTTATTCTATAAGTATAAAACTAGTAAAATAACTGACCATCAAACATAGTAATAATAAATATTTAAGTACACACCCTAAATCAAATTCAATTTTTATGCCAAATTAAAATATAATCGCATGTACTCGTACGAGTACATATGTCAAGTGTATATACGGTACATATGTACGGCAGATTAAAGCAAATTTGTATCTAATATTTTGTTAACAACTTGATTCAATACTAAGTTGATTCCGATAAGTTCATACCACGCCTCCATTTACGAGTCCACAATTTAGAACCATAAAACAGAAGGTCGACAAAGCATCCAATTCAATTCAGATAAGTGGTAGATTTTAACAAGTAGTAGGTACTTTGGTTACAACACTAGTTTTAGCTGAGCGGAATATTTTGAGTGATGGTGAAACCACACGAATTTTAAAGACAATATTAGTTGTAGACAGAAAAAATAGTAATGTGTTTCTGTTTCCCAGTTTCCTTTTATATTATTATTTCATCTTGTGCCATACTGAGATAAGCATATCATACGATTCAGGTAACGTCTTTTAAAAAAATGCAGTTATACTTACTTTTTAAAATAAAGGAATATTTCCTTTGAGTAAAACTCGATAACTTCAATATTTAAGGTACTTTTCTTCCATGTCCTATCGATTTCTTCCACACTGTCTAAACATATATGTATATACATACAGATGATGAATCTAAACATTAAATTCTAGTAAGAATTAATAAATCCTCAATTTCTGGATTATCTAGCATAACTAATATCTATACTTATATATGAAATCTTTGTTGATATGTTACCTTTCTACAACTCACCTTTTTTCACTTTCACGAGTTCTGGTGACGGGCATAAGTTGATTTTATGTCGAATATGGAAATAGATATTATATCAGAATTCTATGATAATATAGAATGGCTTGCCCCTTACTACCAAAATCAATATTTTGATTTTATGGCATACATTTTACGTAAAAACGATTTGTAAATCTGATAGGGTTTGCAAATCGCAAGATAAATAAAAGATTCACAAGTGACGACGATTCTCTTACAAACAAACCTATTCTAAGTTTCGATGATGACTTTACTAAAGAGAAGAGCATTTTGGTTACACGCTGTAATAATATACGGCTGACAAGTTTTGCTAAACGAATAATAGATATTATTATAGAAATGAAAGATTTTTTATGTGTTTGCGCTTATTTAAATGAAATTTACAATACAGATAGACTAGGAGTAACAAATACGAAATTAGGTTAAGTCCCTAGTATGATATAATTAACACAGTTATCAATATCTTCCTATAATTCAAGGCGGATAAATTCAAGGATTATGTTAACAATTAATAGTCACATCTGACTCACAACAACTCCCACTTATATAGACATATGTCGGGAGTTCAAAAACACGTACAAATACGAAAATAAATGTGTATTTCTATAAAACCTACACCCGCCGACGCAAAACTCCGTTCAATAACCGTTGCACCAACGCTCTGGCCAGATATATGCAAAACTTATAACTATACTGGAGCACATCAACTTTAAAAATTTTACTACTATCTATCTAAAAAAAATGAATCCCTATTTCCCTTGGTCCAGCCATCACGCGTGAACGGCTGGACCGATTTAACTTTTTTTGTTGTGTTTGTTATTGTAAGGAGAAGGTAATTATGAAAGAAAAAATTAAAAAATTAGCGAAAAAAATTTAAAATGTATATGGCTAACGCTAGCTAATTACTATTTATATCTATTTAAAACGTACCTAGCGACAAACCCGAGCGAAGCGAGGGTGAGCCGCTAGTAATAATATAATTTTTAAAAGGTAATAAGACATTTTCTCTACTGGACCGATTAGAAAAAAAATGCTTTTTATAGCCTAATTATTAGGGAACGTGATTGAACGAATGAAAGTTATCTAACATCACGCTATCTAATTTTGGGTTATATTATTAATATATAACGTGTAACTGCCTCGGTGGTGTAGTGGCTAGCATGTACGGCTGCACATCTGGAGGTCCTGGGTTCGAGTCCCGGGTCGGGCCAAGTTTAGTTATTGAGTCTTCTGTATAGTAAGTCTCAGTAACAGCCCGGAGTTGGGAAGTTGGCGGTGTTTCACCCCCGTGCCTCGGAGAGCACGTAAAGCCGTCGGTCCTGCGCCTTAACTCTCACCGGCCGTGTCGAGTGGTCCTCCCACCGGAATATGAGAGTGATAGGAATAGAGAGTGCACTTGTGTCTGTGCGTACACTTGAGCACTATAATATCTCCTGCGCAGTTGGCTAATCTCAATAAGATTGGCCGCCGTAGCCGGAATGGCAAGGAGAACATCATCATATAACGTGTTTTCCTTTAGGAATGAGATAATACCCGCGGTAAAAAGTAGCCTATGTCACTCTCCAGCCCTCCAACTATCTCCACAACAACCAGACAAACAACAAAAACAAACACACTTTGACATTTATAATATTAGTATGGATAACGTAGATATAATACAAATAAAGTAATGAGTATAAAATAAGCACCTACTATTAACCGCTCATCTGCACCCGCGAGCCCCACTCCATA